GTAGTAGGTTTTCAATTTCTCAATTGATTTGGGGTTACAGACATAAAGCCATGGAAGGATAAAAATGGTTTGATGTTGGGCTAAAAAATTAAAAATGAAACAAATAATTGGACCAAAAAATTAAAACAAAAAATTGAATTTCAAAATTGGGTTTGGTTGGGTCGAGCTAGCTAGGCATGGGCTTGGGAGTTGGAGCATTAATTACCTATTTAGTTAATTTGCTAATTTGTTTAAAAAAATAAATTTATTAATTCAATATTAAAAAATTTAAAAAAAAACTAAAGAGATTCGGTTCTTATTTGGTTCTGGGTCTAGACCCGAGAATCGAACCGTAGCCGTCGATTATCGAATCAGATACCCATTCGAATATTTAACTTGAGAAGAACTGCTCGATTTGGTTTGATTCGGGTTCAGTTCGATAGTTTTCTCCAGCCCTAGAAATAACACATCGTGTAACACATGTAACACTAACACAATATGTAATGTGTATTATAAAAAATATAACACACTGGGTTACACGTGTAATACTATAAAACAATATGTAACGCATTATAAAAAACATAACATACAATGTTACTCATGTTACAAAAAATATAACACATTACTTTTTATATGGAATAAAAGGCTGCATATTGCTTTTGTAAGTAGTTTGATTTTTTAGTGTACATATGAAACTAGAAATGACCTCAAAACAAGTATGGTGACAGAATCCCATTTTTCATCCTCAAATATGCAAGGTCCTGTTGGGTCGATTGGGATCGAAATGGAGATCGTTGTTCCTGTCCTGCCCCATCCTCGACTCAGGAAGTGATTTTAACCATGTCCTTGTCTCGTTTATGATGTGTTCTATGAAAATCGGAAACTATTCGCTCCATTGCCTTCCAAATTTCATAAAGAAGGGAAAATTACACAAAATCCTACCATTAAACTTTGAAATTCAAACATAAGGTATAAAACTATTTTTTTCAAAAATTAAATTTATAATAATTATAAAATTAATTAATTATATTCCTAACCCATATACTATCTACCCACAACAATTGCAATTTCAAACCCTAATCCCTCTCTTTTCCCTATCCCTCTCACTTATCTCCTCTATCTCACCATCAACGGAGGACCACTGTGCCACCAAGAGAGCTCAACGGGCAAAAGAGCACTGCGACGCTCATAGCCCTACCGTCGTGCGTAACGTCACCTACAAGCCATTTTGCACAGCTGCAATAGCGCAGTGATGTGCACAGGCTGCTGCACATAGCAACGATGGCACAGTGCCGCCTGCAAGAAACTTTGGTGAGCTTTGTGTAGCAGGCATGTGTGCATCGCAATGTTGTGTAGCAGCGATGTGTATAGAGATGGAGTTGCCTAGATCTGTACGCATCACACAGCACTGATCTGTAGCTACTACAACTTTGATTGCGATCAATTCCAGATCTACGTGTATAGAGAGGTGTGACATGGTGGTGGTGGAGGCACCGCGCGAAGGTAGGTACAGGTTATGTGTTTATTTCATGGTAGTGCGTGGTTAATGATGAATGATAGTGGTGGTAACATTTTCAGATAGGTCTGTAGCTACTGCGGAGTGCTACTGATGTGACGGTGAGGTGGTGATTCTGCAGGTGGTGGCGGTGGCACGGGGGGTGATGGTGTGGTGGTGATTTGAGGTGTAATGTACTGACGGCGGCAATGGTGGTAGTGGAGTGGGGTTAGGGTACGGTAGTGTACGATGGTGAAGTGGTTTGTGACCAATATTTGGATGATTGTGTTGTGACCAATAAATTGATTAATTTGTGACTAATAAGTAATATGTGACCAATAAAATATGTGATTGATGAAATATGTGATGGGTAAAATATATGACTAATAAGTTGTGACATGTAAATATGTAATTGTGACCAAAATTGTGATTTTAATATATTTAATTAAAAAATATTTTTAATTATTTATTTAATTTTAAAAATCAGAATTACCACCTGATTTTTGAAATGTTGAAAAAAGTTTGCTAAAAATGAAATTGTATTTGGCAAACACTTTATTTATTAATTTTTCCCAAATAAATGTGTGCACAAGGGACCGGGTTAGTAGAATTGGAAATGGAAGCCCAACTCTACGCCCTCAGGCCCACTTAAGTGCATGCTTAAAATATAAGAGTGTGTCTGATTAATTTTATTTTTAATGGAAAATGTCATTTTCTATCCAAAATCCTACTATTGGAGTGCTTGATTGATAATTTTTTCCATAAAAAATATTTTCCAACTTTTAATCACGTGACCATATTTTTCTCAAAAACAAATAAAATAATTTCTTTAGAGTAGGGTGGTTATTACTTTCCAAGTAATTCACTTACTCTCTCTTATCTATCCACTTTCTCTCATCTACCCGTCAATAAAAAATGGATAAGTATAATATTTTTTAAGTCGAAAACTAAATCAATCGAACACATTTAATTAATAATTTCCATACAAATAAGTTTTAGGCAACTTATTTTCTTTTCATGCAAATTTCATACTTGCAATTAAATGCACTATTAGATTTCTATCTAATCGACGCTCCCCGAATGATCCCCACAACAAGCTGCAATTGAGTGGAAAAATCCAGCTCTAATTTATGATTGGTCCACGTCAACTGCAATAACATGGCCCAATAGTCTCTAATTGGAGCTCCAATCAAACCCAAGATTGAACCAATTTACACAATTTGTAAATGCCGGAACACACTGTATATAAACTAGCGCAAATTCCATTCAATAAGAAAAGCCAATCCTGGAGAATTAGAAACCTAACACCTCGGAAAGTCAAGTGGTTAGAGAGAGAAACTCACAATCCTAGTGAGAGAAACACTCACTTTGATGCCTCTTGGCTCTCACAATCTGAGTTTTTCTTGTCTTTGGTTTGATTTTGCTTTCATACTGTGAAAATCGAACATTGTGTGTGCTTTTCTTATTGAGGTATTCCAGTTTTTAGTTTGAGTTGTTGTTTCGAACTGTGCTTCCAGCTTAGTTTGGGTCAGTGCAAAGGCAGATTTCTGGTTCGATTGTTTTCAGGTCAGCTGGTATTGGGTTTCTTCCAGTGTTCAGCTTTGAGCACTGCTTGGATTGGGTCTTATAGCTCATTTCGATTAGAACTTTGGAAGCTACTGTTAGCCTCAGTTCACGTATAAACTCAGTTTTTTTTAGTACTTGATTCTTCTTCCAGCGGTTGGTTTTGGTTCTTTCGGTGGCCGGTGGGGTTGAACATTCATCTCCATGGGTTGAAGGCTGTATGTATATTGTATGTATAGTTACTATTTTATTCAAATTTAAATCTTGAATTTGAATTGTGTTCAGTCCGCTCTGCTCTGCTCATTTTTCAGTTTGGACAGTTGGTTAAAGTAGTTGTTGGGTCCATTCCCTTTTGGGTAATAATTTATAATATTACCGTGGACTTTTTCTCTCCCCTGCACGTGGGCTTGCCACTTGTTTGGGCCTATTGTGTTCATTTTATCTGCTGGAATGGCTAAGAAAAAACCCAATGTGGCCAGCCATAGTGGACTGTCTTTTAAAAAAATGTTGCTCAAGCCCAGGTTGATCGTGAGCCGGATTCTGGAGAAAATTTTTCTTCTAACCAAGGCTGTGCTGTTCCTCCACTTCACCGTATTGCTACGCCTATCAATTCTTGCAAGATCCATGCGAAGGATGATACAAAGTGGCCTCTCCAAGTGTATCTTTAACACTTGGGGAAGAGGATACAACATCCGACGAGTCTGACTTCGTACCTCAAACTGTTGAATTGAAGAAAAAACAAGTTGTTAATGATACTGGGAATGATGGACAAAAAGGTGAGAAAACACCTTGGGTGAACCTTTTGGAGGATAATCAAAAATTTGTTGATGATGTTAAGTTGCAAGCTTTTGAAAATCAATCGGAAGAAGTGGTCCTATGTGAAATGGATGCTCAAAATGTAGAGACAGCTTGCGGATTTGGGCTCGTTGGGTACTTTACCGGTAGATTCCCAGGGAAAGCCGCCTAACTCCAATTGTGTGATTCTTAGAAGGTCCAGTATCAATATTTTGTTCATTCTAGTGGATGGTTGGTCTTTAAATTTGAGACAGATGTGGAAAGATTATCGGTGTTACATGGAGGTCCATATTTTGTCTTTGGAAGACCATTAATACTTAAAGTCATGTTGCAGTATTTTGAGTTTGATGAAAAAGAAGTGAGCACTATGCCCTTTTGGATCAACCTACCAGGTCTGCCTTTGGAGTTCTGGAACACACATGCTTTGGGTAAAATTGTATCTAAGGTGGGTAAGCCTATTTCTACTAATAAGGTTACTACCACTAGAGGAAGACTATCCTATTCTAGAGCTCTTGTTGAAGTTGATGCATCTATAGATCTTGTGAGGGTAGTTAAGATAAGGCTTCCTAGTGGCAAATTAAGGGAGCAAGAAATCCTCTTTGTGCACGAACCTAAATTTTATAGAATATGTAAGATGTTTAGGCACATGACAGCTTCATGCTACTTGAATACCCAAGCTTGAAAACAGAATTAGGTTGTTAAGGCCAATTCCAAAAAAAAAAAAAAAAAAACCAGGTTGATAAAAATGGGCAGATTGCAGGTGATAATGTGCTTTAGATTGGACAGATTGTTGGGACCAGCATGCTTTAGGCTGATGTGGGTGATCTTGCTGGTCGGCAGTATGATAATCGACCACAAGAGAAGCGGGTTGACAAGGGTACAGATCAGCATAGTCACCAGGCAGATCATAATGAAATCCCATTTATTGAGGTGATCAATAAGAAAAAAGGAATGCACCATAGACACATTCAAGGCAAGATTACTCTTGCCCCGATGATGGAAAAGGATGGAAATCAAGTGGCTAAAATGGGGACGATTGTTCATTAATTTTGCAGGACACGATTACTAAGGCTACTAGCAATGATAAACCAAAAGGGAAGCTTGAGGAGCAAAAAAAGACTATAGCTATAAAAGACAGGAAAAAGGGTATATCCCTTGCTTCATCATCATGAAGATCGGAGCTTGGAACATTAGGGGCTTGAACCGTCCCCTTAAACAAAATGGGGTTCGTCACTTCATGAAGCAACATGATGTAGATGTTATGGGTATTTTGGAGACGAAACTTGGGGAACTAAAGTTGAACCGAGTTATGCGGAATAAATTCAACGGATTGATGCAAGTGAACAATTTTCTCACTCATAAAGCAGGGCGGATATTGATTTTGTGGAATCCTTCGAAAGTCAAATTGGAAGTGTTGGAGACTGCATCACAAGTCATCCATTGTATTGCTACTTGTAAGGTAACTTCCTATACCTTCCATGTTAGTTTTGTTATGCTTTCCATACAATTGTTAGCTAGAGGCCACTTTGGCGTAACATTATGGATTTTAGCACTAATGTTTCATTGTACTGGATGATTCTTGGAGATTTTAACAACGTACTTAAATTTGATGAGAAGAGCAATGGAGCGGAGGTTATCCCTTATGAAATTAAGGACTTTGCTAATTATTGCCAACATGTTGGTCTTACAGTTATGAGGTCCGTTGGTTGTCTTTACACATGGACTAATAACTCGGTTTGGAGTAGAACTGATAGAGCTATGGTGAATGATGTTTGGGGACAAAAAGGTATCTATGGCCTAGAGGAATATTTGCCTTCGGAATGCCTTTCCGACCATTCTCCGTGTGTTGTATCTATTTTTGAAAGAGGGGAGAGCACAAGGAAGCCGTTTAAATTTTTTAACAAGTGGACAAATCATGAGGTTTTCCATGGACTTGTACAAGTATGTTGGAATTTTGATGTTGTGGGAACGAAACAATTTATACTTTGCAAGAAGTTGCATAACTTGAAAGGAGCATTGAAAGAGCTTAATGCCAAACACTTTGGACACATTTCTATTAGAGCAAATGATGCTAAAAGAGAGTTAAAGGCTACCCAACTTAGGCTACATGATCAGCCCGCTAATGTGCATTATCAACTCACGATGGCACAATTGAGGAAGAAAGCCATGGGGTTATGTGAAGCGGAAAGGAGCTTTTACTATCAACAAGCAAAGTGTGTTTTCCTTAATAAAAGTGATAAATGTACTAAATTTTTTCATTCGTTGGTGAAGAGGAACACAATGAGGAATTTTATTGCTACCATACTTAAGGAGGATGGGACATACACCACTTCTTAAAATAAGGTTGCTCAGAAATTTATCCTATTTTACTGCAATCTGCTTGGCACAAGCTACCTCGTTCATCCCATTGAGCTGGACATTTTGAGGAATGGGCCTTTGGTTTCATTGGAACAAGGTAGCTCACTTACTTGGGACATTTCTAGCCAAGAAATCAAGGAAGCACTCTTTAGCATTGGAGATGATAAATCTCCAGGGCTGGATGGTTACGCATCTTATTTTTTCAAGAAAGCTTGGAGGATTGTTGGTGATGATGTTGTGGAGGCTATCAAAGAATTCTTCTTATCTAGATCTCTCCTCAAACAAATCAATCACACGATCATTGCTTTGGTGCCGAAGTCTAATCATACACCAAATGTCGGGGATTATAGACCTCTCTCTTGTTGCAATGTAATCTACAAGGTGATCTCTAAGATCCTTGCATCTAGGTTGAGGCCTATTTTGGAGACCATTGTTGATCAAGCACAAGCCGCTTTTGTTGAAGTAGGAGTATGATGGAGAATATCCATCTTGCCTAAGAACTTATTAGACAATATAATAGAAAGAGAGTTGCTCCGAGATATCTTTTAAAGATTGGTCTAAAGAAAGCTTATGATTCGGTAAATTGGGATTTCCTTAAAGAAGTTCTCGAGGGTTTACGTTTTTTGAGTAGATTTGTCCAATGGGTTATGGAATGTATTACTACACCAACATACTCCGTTGCTTTGAATGAGAGCTTACATGGCTTTTTTAAGGGAAGGAAAGGCCTCCGACAAGGTGACCTTCTTTCACCCTTCTTGTTTATCTTATGTCTTGAATATTTTTCGAGAATGATTAAGGCTGTCTCCAATGATAATGAATTCAATTATCACACAAAATGTGGCCATTTAAAGATTACGCATCTAGCATTTTCAGATGATTTAATGCTCTTTACAAAGGGAGATGTCATGTTGGTGCAAATCTTAATGGATTGTCTATCCAACTTTGGAAATGCATTGGGTTTGAGGATGAACACTTTAAAATCCAGCTTGTTTGCAGCTGGAATCATGGGTAAGAACTTGAAGAAATTCAAGCACTCACTAATATCCCGAAGGGTACTATGCCATTCCGATATTTGGGTATTCCACTTGTATCCGTGAAGCTTAAAGTTAGTTGCCATGCCCCATTTTTAGATAAAATTGCAACTTATATTGTTGCTTGGACTCGCTCCTCTTTGTCTTATGCGGGAAAGACGGAGTAAATTAGGGTGGTGCTTCAAGGTGTTGAATGTTTTTTGTTTTCTATTTTTCCTATCCCGGCAACAATCATCTCAAGGATAATTAGTCTATGTCGTAATTTTCTTTGGGGATCCAAGAAGCCATTAGTAGCTTGGAGGGATGTTTGCCTACCAAAAGATGAAGGTGGCCTTGGTTTTAGAGACATGAAAAGCTGGAATTTAGCACTACTTGCAAAAACACTTTAGAACATTCATCAAAAGGACACTCCTTGGATACGTTAGGTCAATCAATTTTATCTTAATGGAGCAAGTATTTGGAATGTTTTGCCAAAGAAAGATGATTCGCCTCTTATTAAAAAATTGCTGGTGATTAGAGATTTCATTTTGAGGGCTGAACACAATGAACAGGCGGCTGTTCATAAATTGTCCAACTTGACTTGTGATGACAGATTCAATATTTTTGCTGCGTACGAGTTTTTTAGGCCGAAGGGAACAAATGTGATCTGGGCTAAATCAGTTTGGAATGCACGTGACGCCAAAGCATGTTTTTATCCTGCGTTTGGCAGCCAAATCTAAATTGCTCAAAAAGGACGGATTGAATTACCTACAGATTGACCGTAAATGTTATTTCTGCGAACATGTGGATGAGACGACTGGTCATTTATTCCTTGGCTGCCCATTTAGCTGTACAGTTTGGGAGAAAGTCATTGCTTGGGTGGGTCTTTGAAGGTCTACGTCTACATTGCCTAGTGCACTAAAATGGATCAAAAAGGAAAGTCCGAGAACATCTTGGCATAACAAAACAAAGCGTATTGCACTTACTACTACCGTGTACCACATTTGGATGACAAGGAATAGAAAGATTTTTGAAGATATCAAACCATGTATTGATAGTATTGTTCAAAGAATCAAAACACACGTATACAAAATCATGTTTTCTTTGTATCCAAATATTTTGATTCAATATGAGTCATTAGCCATGGGTCATTAACTATATTGGTTGTGACCCCTTATTTGTATTTTATTTGTTTCGCTCAGGAATGTCCGGTGTAGTTGTATGTAGACTTGATGGGACATGTTAGTGCGGGTATGCCCGGTGTAATTGTAAATCATTTTTGATCAATATAATTCACATTTACCGATCAAAAAAAAAAAGAAGAAGAAAAGCCATTCCTATGAATTGTGATTCTTCGGTGCACAAATACATACACTGTAAGCATATAAGCACACTCACATTTACAGAGAGTGTTTATATACATAGAGAGAGAGAGGGGGAGAGAAGGAGAAGCCATGGGTGGCTCGTGGAGGAGGAATGGGTCATTCATTGTGCTAGCAATTGTTTTATTGGGTAATTATGTTTATTTTTCTTTAAAAATTGTATGTTATGTTTTAATCTTGTGATAATGATCAAAGGTGGGATTTTTTTTTTTTTTAAATAAAATGAAGATAGATCTATATCAGTTACGTGCTGATAATTAAATTTTATAGTTAGTAGCATATGAAAATATTTCACTGATTCTGATATTTAGACTGATTAGGGGTGTCAAAAAAGCTCGACAGCTCGAGTGGCCTGCGGCCCGACTTGTGGCTCGGGCTGAGCCCACAGGCTACCA